CACTTAACATTAAAATAGGCACCTACGTACCTATAGACTATAGATGAATTATGCTGACAGATCTAAAACATATAATCACAAATCACTATTAATGACCAAATACATTTTTTGGAACGGGAATTTTACTATTTTGATCACTACAGATTTTAAAAATGTACATTGATTGTAGGCTCAACTGTATGTAAAAAATGTAATATTAATTTATATAATTTTAAAAGTTTTAAGGAATTTAAATTGTTTTCTTTACACCCTAGATTTTGGAAATATTTAAACAAATATTCATATTTATTTTATTTTATTTGATTAATTTATTAATTCTTTTAATTTTGTTATATTTTTTACAGGCATACATGAAAATTGTTAACATAACTTTATAAAATTGAACTCAACTCTTCCAATACGAGCTATGCTTACAGAGAGTGTTGCATATTGGTTATATGTTTTACTTTTATACTATGTTACTATATATGCAAATAATAATTATTATAAAATTATAATAATACCTATCCTACTATATTATACGGTTTAAAAAAAAATCAGTTAAAATGGTAATTTTTTGAACAATGTTTATGAGGACGTTACACCCGCATGTGATGTCTCCGTCTTACAAATGTACAACATACAAAAAACGTTTTGTACATTTTCACACAATTTCTGAACATATAGAGTAGAAAATTATCTATGCAACAAAGTGCCTATATTTTAGATATTATAAATACAATAAAAATTATTTGTTCTAAACATTCTTTTGCTTATAAAAATTATTGGATAGTACATTTTTTTTAATGAAAAAAAAGCACACTGTTGCACAGATAAAGTTCTTATTTAGGTGTTGTTAAAATGTTATAGTTCTGCAACAAATATTGTGCGATAAAACTTGTCCAAAAACAGTTTTTGCTATGTTCTTCATTTGTAAGACGGAGACAACACATGCGGATGTGACGTCCTCTTAAATGTTGAGCACACATTTTTTAGAAATTATCATTGCCCGCTTTAGCTTATCAATTGATATCCAATATTAACATAAGCCGGACGACGGTTGGAATGTTAAGTTTTAAACTCAATTTGATAATAAATATTATTATGATTGTATAGTAGGTATACTTACTTATTATTAGACTAATCGTAAAATAAAAAATTATTTACATTTTATGGTCCATATAAAAATGTTGGTCATATGCCTCACACAATCTTATTAGGCTTAGATCAATTGAATGCATATTATGCATTTTGTCATCTTGTTTAAACAACACCTATCTGAGTCTTAAAGTAATACAACACATAAAAAAATAGTTGTTTTATTTGACAGTTAGAAAAATATATAATTACATCTCACCATCACAGCCAATAAGCGAGATATGTCCTCATTAATGTCATTATTACCATATTTATATAATTTTACAAGTTTTATTTCAAGCTGAAATTCTACTCACTGCAGCAGATAATCTTGTAGTTTGGGTATTTTATATTTCTCGATAACTGCAATATTACATTTATTAGTTATTACAATATTTCAAGTTGTTCTCACTGTATTATCCGTTGACTAATAATTTTCACATAACCTCATTAGTTATACAAATTTAATATTAATTTTATTTACAAACACGTTTTATAAATTGTGTCATCGTTTTTATACAATTTTAAATGTCCTCTGAAAAATATTTACGTGTATAATAGCATTTATTCCGTACATAATTGTTTCTAGATAATTTCAACTTTCAAGTGTATGATATTTATTAGCTATTTATTATTATTGGTCAAACGTACTTCGTGGTTCATTATTATAATTGGAAACAATATAATATTCTTAATTACAATACAAACTATATATATTTTATTTATTATCATTTATTTCTTTTTCTTTTACGATTCGTTTGTCGCATAAACAACAGGTTTCAAAAATAAAATACTCGTCACTGGGAAGGGCAATAAGTACACCTATAATAATAGGCTAGTATAATTATAATAATTCAAAAGAAGAAAGAAAAAGAAAAATATTTAATATCATAAAACTACACAGCAGAGAAAAGTGTCGAGGTGTAAAATGTAATAATAAGAAAGTATATCGAAGAATTAATATATTAATAATTCATAATGTATTACGGTGTGCTATTGAGAGGAAAACGACAAAACCTATAACGATTATAATAATGTGCAGCAATGCAGCATAGTAAAATAAACTTTTAAGCTTACCTAAATAATAAGACATATGTTGCCTAACGCAAACATAGGTTCGTTTATTGTGTTTGTTGTTCCCTTCATATAATTTCATTATCATCTGTTTTCCCCGTCACTAAACAGATACTCGTATATTGTGATTGACTCTATTCAGATGATTTTTTGTGGCATATACTCATAATGGGTAAAATAGTATATTATACAGTTAGGTATGGTTAGGCACCTTACCACGCGTTAAATACGACTTCTCGTTATTCCGTTCCTAAATAATATGCACAAGCAAACGCCTCGCTACTATAACTCCATGGGTAGATAAGATATTGAAGTAGATCACATACAAAAAAAAATAAAATATGTTGGTAATAAATAATAATCATAATAATTGAATGCAAGGCCCGTAACCTATGAGTATAATTATTATATTATTATGTAATAATATTGATATCTTATCAGAGTTATACTTTCACGCAAGCGAGAGTAGACCATGAAAACCGACCAAAATGTTTTAACTTTTAACTTTGACCAAATGCCTTAAATATTCCCATGGCAGAAAAATTCCATGCATCCGATATCACTCGATGCATTTGAGTGATGTTTGAGTGCCAGGAACCCAACTCTATTTCTGCCTAAATCAAATTCATCACTACCGCCAATCTACTCAACAAGATATAACTGTCCCCAACTTATTTTGTTTTAATAACCTGGTTGGTTGATTAACATTTGTGCATCATCTTTATACCTACTTCTACGTTATCTGCAAAGATCGGAACCTAAAAAATAATGAAATATGTGCATACATACATATGCGCTAAAAAAGCTTAAATACCTATGCAATATTATGTACAATAAGTAGTTTTTTTGAAAAATATATATTTATAAACTTAAAAAATAATAATAATTTTAAAAAAATAATTTTTTTAATTTTGTACAAACTTAGATGTAATTTTTAACTTTAGGTTTGTAGATCTTTGAACATTTTTCGATTATACACAGCCCTAATTATAAAATATTAAATTTATGAAATACAGAAAATATCAAATTATGTTATATACCTACATTTACCAGAATACCAGAATTACATTGAATCTTTTTTGTTTCTCAGATAAAAATAAATCGTTTTTACCGGGTCTATAAATTGCAATCAACTATCGATAATATATTATAATAAATTCAAAATAATGCGACGATATTATGTAGCGGCTTTTTGTTTTTAAATGTTTTAAATCAATGACCTACAGGGTAGCATAACATACATTAATATGCTAAAAATCATGTAAACTTAGTCAAATATGCAAAAATATGCAACACACATTTTTGTATTTACATTGTATGTAGGTACTAAGGAACGAATTTGTATCAAATCAGATTTTTAATATGCAGCATCCTGAGAAATATGCAAATGCATAAAAATTCAAGCCTTGGCTATCTATATTACGTAGTTTAATATTGTCAACATCACCCATCGGACCACTGTGGTCGTGGGTTTATTTAAAATAAAAAAAAGTATCTATATATATATATAAATTATATATATTATTTTTTATCGTTGAAATCCGTATTCATAACTATCAGGTCATTCAAGTGATTTTATAATATTATAAACAATTTGAACTGAATTACCATGTACTATATTATACATACAGAACATACCTGCTTATAACATATTATTATACGTCATAATATATTTAACTATTTATCATACACGGGAAATACCTATATAATTCTTAAACGAATGTAATATGTTAGATAATTAATCAAACTATAGAAAAAAATCAAAATTAATCAGTTCTATAGAAATTCCAGCTCGTAGATGTAATTAACTACCTACTTAGTTTATATTATATCAGTTTATTAACGATTTTTTATAATACAGCGTTTAATAGTAGGTAAATATACGTTATCCGTACATCCTGAAATTAAATTTCCATTGTCTGTGTGACCTAAATTTATTGTAGTCTGAACATTTTTCATTTATCTGATACATTTTTTATATATTTATTCAGTTTTCTAAATTTTTTCATATTAATATTTTTTTCCTCGTAATATTTCCAAAATCTGGAATTTACACTTAAATTTACAATAATAGGCACCTACGGTCCAGCAATAATTTCACGTAAATGCATATAATTCAAGTCTTTTCACAATGGATCTGTCTCGCGGCAAATAATTGGGCTGTTTTGCTGACGCGTAGTTATATATTTTCGGAGATTATTTTGTCGTGGTGACAAATTTATGTGCCGTGAAACATTTCCGAATCGAAACGAATATTATACTCGATCATGCGTGTTTATCGATAACAATAATAATTACAATAATGGCAGCAGCGGTAATAATCAATGCATCCCTCGGCCCTCGTCCCCTACAGCACCAACGCCATGGCAGGCACATATACACACCGGACCCCCCTTCTGAAGATATCGTCGCGTGCACCGAAAAATCACCCCTCTATCACCGCTCGTATAAACCGCACGTACCAGTGTACCACATGTCAAATTCGAACATATTGCCATCCATTGTAAATAATATATGCTCACGACCAATATCCACAAGCGGCCCTAGATTTTGCAGGGCTAAGAGAAAACGGTATCTCGAAATCCTTTTTTTCTACAATAAGTGTGTATAATATGTGCCTACATTCGTTTGAGTTATAACGATTTTCATTATACATATTTTATATAGCCGTGTTTATATAGCCATATGAGTATATAACTATAATAGGTAGTATCTTATGAAGTGAAACTAATTAATTTTTGTTATTATTATTTAGGTACCTATAATTTATTGTGTATAATGTTTTATGTTATAATATGTACGATTGACCCATGCCTGCAAGTTCTACTATGTTCATGACAAGTTCTATTGCTTGCGTCGTGGACCTGCTTTTCATGAACCTGAATTCTCCGACTGATTCTGACCTTCAGCAGCCTTTCAAAAAGTTTTTAAATCGAATCGAAGACACAACGGCCTTTACGACAATGACTGATCAAGAAGTGGCTTTGTCCCGTTCTGGAGCAGTACAAGCAGCGCTGCTTTCCAACTCTCGAAGAAGTGGCCTGTCTTTGGGCAGCCATTAAAAGTTGGCATCAGGTGGTCGAACGCTCCCTAACTATTACACATAGTACCTCATCTGGCACGCCATCGGGACCTGGAGCTTTCTCTCTTGGTAAGCCGGACCCCGCTTTGGCCAGTTCTTCTAGTGAGAAAAGACTTAAATTGTTTACCAGTGTGGTGACCTTAGGATATATCCGTGGTCGGCACTACGGAAATAGGCCATCGACGATCCCTTGAAGCCTACCCGGAATCTTGAGGCCAGTGATGGGATTTTTGCCAATCAGATTTTGTATGGAAATTCCCAGGGATCTGTAATTAAAGATAGCATGTGGAGTCCAATGTATATATCTCTCAGGCTGATAACGTTAACGTTCTCTCTTTAGATGAAAGTTTCTCAGCTAATAGCCTTCACTATATCCTCTTTGTTGACCATTCATCGATGTCTGGTACCAGCAGCATCTTCCGCTGTAACAACGTAATATTATTAGTGTCTTGCCAAACTGCTCCTGTTACCTCCGCCTTGATTGTCTCCACTGCCACGCCAACACTTCTCATCTCTAGCAGCACCCCGCGGTTCTTAGCTTTTCTCATGCCAGTTATCATACTGCCCACCTTAGAATCGCTTAATTCCATACCACCCTTAATTTATTTCACCAGTGCTGGGAAATCATCTTGATTACTGACATCCACCATAATAGTGAACGACCGTGGTCTTATTCTTGGGTTCCTTTCTGCAACCCTTTCAGCAACTGGAGGTGGGTCGCATGTGTCCCAGTACTCTTGATTTTGCCCTTTCTCTTCACGAAGTCCGTCGAGTTAAAGGCATGCGCATGTTGCTCCTCTGGCTCATCTACTACCATGTCATCAGTGCTTCTGTCACCAGCCGCCGGTCTAGTGAGGCGGTTAGTCGGGGGGTCCATGTGGACCAACATGGAGATTGCGTCTCTGCCTCATTTGTGACGACCTTCGGTATCGCAGCGGCCGCTGCATCATCCGTGGTGCTGTTCTTGGAGTGTTTAATCTTATTACTTTATTTAATGCATATAACCTCCACATTGAATACTTTGGTGACATCCTTTCGGCTTTCCCTTAGTCTCTTCACAACTGCTAGTAGGTCAGCGATTATTACTTTAGTTGGCTCGCTGAGGAGTTTTTCGTGAACAGCCTCTAGTTCTGAGAATTTTATAAGCAGAAGCTTAAAACAACTATATTGCAATTGCAGCTGCTTGCTTAGGTTGATCATTATGTTGAGGACATCTGATTCGGTTTGGCTTTCGTTATGGCAAGCAGTTGAGTCCGTGTCTGTCTGGGGATAGTGACAGTAATTCCGACACTAGGAAACCTCTCAAATCTGATGGTATCGGTGGCCCTACGCGGTAGAACTGTTAAAACCCACGTGCGTGTGACCAGATTTGCAGCAGGGAGAGCCTGGGGCTAAAGGTTCGACTTGTGGTCAAAATCCCTTACCCATGGGTATTTCTTCTTTCACTGGTGGGAGGGGGTGGAGGGTGATATTGTCAAATTTAAATTTCTCGAATGATGAATTAGCGGTGGTATTGCTGTGGAGTTATGAAATGCGCGAGAGTTCTAGGACAATAATATTATTATATAACAAACCCCGTGCGTTAATATACGCCGACCTGTATATTATAATATTATATGGCCGCCCCTACCGCGGTCGCTATACAACTGTCGTTCGGCGCGTTTGTATTACATGTATTAGCTTATATGCTGTAAAATACGGACTGTGGTGTGAGTATATACATAATAGTGAGCATTCGTACGGTGCGAGTGTGTGCAGTTAATCGACTGCGAAAGAAAAATTCGGCGAAAAATAATATAAAACGACAATAATAATAATAATAATAATAATACAATATAATTTAATACCTTTTCACCCGATCGGTGGGACGGGCGGAAGCAGTGTTTACCGCGGACGCGTCTCGTGCAAAATATAGGAACCCGTGAGCGCGGACCCCGTTTTGACGGATTAACGTCTGCCCATATAATGACGTTTCCCTCGACCGGCACCGCCACGACACTATAATAATACAACTACTTTATAATATCTGCTCGTTTTTTCAGCCTTCAGTGGTGGTCGCGATTCTATTATAATATTGCCCATCACTGCATACAATAAAATATATTGCCCACAACTGTGTGTTATTATGTGCGTGCGTGTGTGTGCAAGCATCCGCTCGAGCGGAAAAATACGAAAATCCGCCCCGTGCAAAGCAAAGACCGTCTCCGCCGTGACATTTTAATAAATATGTCATTGTGTTTATAAAACGTTCTTTTTCTACTGTGCGTCGGTACCTACACTAGATGTGTATAATAATATATTATAATGTGTGACATAAACGCGTCTTTTCGAAAAACCAAACCGCTGCAAACCATATAATCGCAGTGTTCAATATGAATAATATAATAATATATACATAGGTATAGCCGTACATATAATATAGGTGCAGTATTGTTATATTCCCCTCCCCCAATAAAAAAAATCACCTAAATTCAAAGCTATTTGTGCCTATTATTCGTGATAAACATGATCGCCACATGTAGGTGGTTTAATCTTGGGTTTGAATATTATGTAGAGTTTCAGAAATTATTGTTCATTATTATGTCCAGACTACTAATAATTTAGTCCACTAAACAATATTGTACATTAACGGTACCTAAACAATTTTTGTATAATTGTATAATAAATATTAAAGATGACGATTTAAACGGTCAGACAGCCGCTGTATTCTCATTAACGTGTCGTATAATATTTGTATACACTGATCTCATTTTTGCTTTTAAGGTTGTATATTAATCATATTAACTTTATACTAAACGTGTTTACGATTATAATGATATATTCTTATATTATATTTTTATTAATTTATTCTTTTTTTGATTGATGGGAGAGGGGGGGGGGGTAAAGTTAAAATAATTTCAGTTTTATGAATATTTTATCGATATCGTAGGCTCTGATCTTGTTTTTGTATAAAATTAGGTGCTCAATATCATATTTTTTATAATATGTAATTACTAATTATATAATACTATAAACTATGTTACAGACGTTTACATTCATAATCAATACAAATCGATGATAAATGACTATTCCGGAACAAAAAACATTGTTCATTGAAAAGTGCCGCCACTTATTTCGTTTGTCATTTTGAAATTCGTAATTCGCGAGTACCAATTGAAATATTTGGCGGTCACGTATACAATTAAAAGTTGCATATGAGTACATAACGTTGTCCTCTTGTCATGATGTGCTTGTAGTCTTTAAGTGCACTGGTTTTTCAATTTCAATTGTGCTCGAGAGTAATATACGTAGGCAATATTGTCTTCTCTTGACTTTTTGTATTGTCAGAGTTGTATGTCTGTATTATACAGTAGTTATATTTACCCATAACATTTTTAACCCCAGACGAGTAGGACACAATGAATTGTATTAACAAATTATAAAAGCTGCTTGCATCGCTTTATCGTTGCAGCCTTGCAGTAGTACTAAAAGAGTAAAAAGAGGTGAGGTGGAATTAACTATAGGTAGTTAAAAAGTTATTTTTCTTAACTATTTATTCAACAGTCTATTTTAATAAATTCCACTGGCCACTGTGCAGTTTATGTTTCATAAAATTCTGGGGAAGTTAGTATTTTTTGATCAATGTTGTGTTGTAGGGCCAATCAGTTTTGCTAATGATCACCTGACAAAGTTGGCAGTGATGTACTACGGAGGAGCTCAACTTTACATGGAAAAAGTATAAAGTTAAAATTCATGAGGGAGACTAAACTTTTGGTAAGAACTTATAAAAACAAATTTGATTATTAGTTAGTATTTATCTTCTGTAAGCAACAGCAAAACTAACTGATTAAAAAAAATTTTAAGCTGCCAATAATTATAATATGGTCTGGTAATTTAATAAAAATAATTAACTTATTTTTAACTGAGATAAGGAAATAGGTATTTTTCTCATATTATACAGTAGAACCTCGGTATCTCGAAATCTCAAGGGAACAAAAAAAAAAATTCGACATATCGAAAATTTGAGTTACCGAGATAATAATTATTTAAAATATAATATGAATGAGTTAGGCGAAAAAAAAACCGATTAACAGAAACTTTGAGAACCTGAGTTCGATTTACCTAGGCTCCACTGTGTATTGTTAGTTAACCATTAACTTATAGCGTAACTCTCTTAATTTCGAATTAACTTAACTAACTAGAGTTAATTTTTTTCATTGACTTGTCCACCTCTTCGGGCTTCAAACAGTAGGTATACATTGGGCGATCGGCTTTAACGGTAAGCGTTGGTCTGTATAATATACTTCTCGCTGTCACCACATCTATATACATTATACATGCACTGCAATGACGATTATTATATAATATTACGTACCTATATATTATAATAGTCGACGAAGAGTTTTTGGTCTCACGGCAGCGCCGGAGACGCACAGGCGCGGCTCATGTACACATAGGTGGTTTATAATATTATATTATTATTATAATATAGAGGGCACAATGACAAGGAAAAAAAATCGTGTATCATATGCGTGTTTGTGTGAGTATATCGTATTATATACCTTATACCTATATAATATTATAATGCACGCACGCGTATATAGTGTGTTGTATTATTATATTATAATATACTGCAGTTGTAACCCTTGTGTCCGTTTAGTATAATATAATATACATAATAATATATTTATATATAAGACCGTGTGTGTACACGCAAGCGCATTTATTCGACGGCTATAAAACGTGATTTAGTGGCGGTATTTGGACACGTTTTGTACTTTTATTATATTATTCTTTTCTTTTATTTTCTCGTTTTTTTTTCTTTTTTTTTCCTCTTCTAGTCTTGTGTCCGCGCTCACAGCCGAAGAACAAATATTGTGATTGCTTGCGTGTCAATGGTATAACTGATGGCTTTTCCGCCGCAAAGGTGAAGAGGTCGGGTGCGCGCATGCGCTCCGACGGGACGGCGCGGCTCACGATAGGCGACGCGCGCGTTTATTTTCATTTTCGGTCCCGCTGAGTTTTGATCGTAATAATATATCACGCGCTCGCCCGCGTGTCGACCGACCATACCTAACCATATATACCGACCGTTGGGTTCTTCTCATACACATCTATGTATAATAATAATAATAATATAATATAATATTATTATTATATTCTCTTTCTCTTTTGCCGCGGCTTGTCCGTCGGCGGCGGGGAGTACCTATATATATATATATTACACCCGGTACCCCGGTATACACCGCGGTCGTGGTCTGGTATGCGACCATATAGTGTATGGTACACGAACCGCCACCGTGGCAGACGTACGCCATATAATAATAACATATACATTACATCTAAACGTATATATTATATAATGTATAGTAGTCGTGGGTAAGAGCTGACGGCGGCCGCCCGAAATATGCTTTTTACACCTTTGCCGGGCCTAAACGCGTGTGCGTGGGACGGCGCCGCCGCAGTGTAAAGTATATATAATATTAAACACACGTATTTTTTATAATAGGTAATAATAGTAAAGAAAATAAACGGCTCGTTAAACGAGTCATAGTTATAGTTTCAACGACTAGTTAATTTTTAAACTAATAATTTCTCGGCCGACCATTTTATATTGTTCCTCTTCAAACTTCGTCCGCCAACCACCCCCCTTCCATCCGTATACGGTTATAATTCTGATTTTTTTTACCCATTCCCGAGTGTGTGTGTGTGTGTTCACCACGTGTGTGGCACTCAACACAATATTATAATGCCGTGTGATGTACACACGAAATATATTATATTATGTCCAACACCTCAAATTGACCGTCCACCGCTTTGTCGTGTTCGGTTATACAGTTTTTCCGGTCAACGCCACTATAATTATTATAGTGCATTATTACTACGCGCCACGACCTGTTGATCATAATATCATCGGGCCACTACTAATCGGTCCCATCGATCATACTCCGATCGTCGATCCTGCTACGTCAACGTTTTCGTTTCTCTCGTGCAGTAGTGCACACAAGTGATTTCGTATAAGACCATTAATGACAGTGACGAGGTAATAGTTGAGGTAGGGTGGCTGCAAGGAATCGTCCATCTGAGGCCGCGATACGTTTCTCGGGATTCATAATGGTACTAAAATGAAAAAAATTG